TCTTTAGTTATCGTTGAAATCAATTGGTACGTCGCGTTTGTTTATTCACAGTCTGCTTGAAAGTGCGTACCATTTGATTTACAGACTTCAAACACAAAAAAATAATAAAAAAACTTTAAAAAAATGTAAAAAAGGGACAAATAACTCTTAAACGTGTACTACATTTTAATACAAATACAAAAATTATAAATAGGTACCATAAGATATTTACAGAGAACCATGACGTGGACAATCAAATAATATACTACTACAATAAAATAATTAATAAATTCGCTAAATAATTTATAATTGCACATCAAATTCGATGAACTAAGAATCTCGTAACTAGATGTATTTTTCTATTGGTTAATAATAATTATCTTTACATTTATTATATTTACGTATGTTATTCAGAAATCCAAAGAAACTTAATTTAAGACGGATTTTTGTTACATTATTATATAATTATATTAGGTAGAAACAAAATATGATTATAAATTACAAAACGTTTGAACAATTCGATAGATATTAAAAAGCGTCGCCAGAATTCAAGGATCATAACTACAGATTCAAATAAAAAGCGAGCCTAATAGAAAATTCGCGTAGATTAAGATATACATGCCAGTAAAGTACATAATAGGTACGTAAGTGGGTATAATGTAGGTAAGTACTAAAATTATAGAATATATTAGAAGTATTTATATTTCAGCGAAACTACGCATCAAAGCTTACTTAATCGTACAATAATTGTTAAGATGAGGGGGTTTTATCTCGCATTCTGGATGCAAATCAATTTCCAGACTGCTGGTCCAGGATTGTCTCAAATATACGATGTACATTTGCGAGTGGAGTCAGGAGAAATCCTTCGAGAAAGGAGAGTCTCGGGGAAAATTTAAAATGACAGTAAATCAGCAATTGGGATATAAAGAATCGAGAAAGAGATCCATATAAAGCCTTCGCGTAAAACAATTCTAACAATGAAGTTACGAGGACAAGGCTTTAAAAATAACGATAATCATTTATTTCTAGTTAGCACGTTGTATAGAACGCATCATAAATATACAATATTGTTGTATCTAAGGCACATAATGTTTAGGCTTCCAATTATTACTCCATATAGTAATAAAGGTGCTAATCAAATTTTAGAACAACACTGTGTTGCGACAAACACTCTATTCATATGTTATATTCGTATCCAAGCAGGCAGTCCTCATTATTCAAAAGCCGATAAATATAACGCGTCCATATACAGCTTTATCATAATCGATTCAGTAATTTCAAGCGTTCACTTTAAATTTGGCATAATACGATAGGATGTTTGCCGCAAACACACCAGCTATTGCAAAGCTATTAATAAAAACACTACTGATCTACTGACGCTGTCAATAAAAAACTTTACCTCTCATCTTTAAACTTGGTTAATTCCTTAAATTTGTATTAAACAAATGCATTACATACAACGTCGTGTCAACAATGTATGAATAACTAACGTCTACACCGATGGTGTACGCCAATCATACAAACGTCTATTTCAATATTCAATATAAGACACGTCCCAATGAACAATTTAATCACAGTCTAGAATTTTCTGCACCAATGAACTTTTAAATTCGTCATCGGCCGTCGCTACAAAGTTGTGCCGTCGACGACGGGTCGGTTCCGTTTGTTGAAGCCTTAAGATGACTATTTAATCTGTATTATATCGTCTAATGTCTATCGCTAGCAATTGACTAACTCCGCCCTAGTCGTACTATAGCTGTATATAACTATCTGTGATACCTATTTTAATTGTACCAAACTGCTTAATTTATAGAACTCAGTTCTCTGGCATAGTGTCTATAGAAAAAATATCGCGAGTCGACTGTTACTTGAATCTCTACCTCAGTACCAATAACTAGCTTCACTAAAGCTGTATCTATATATTTTTGTTCATTTATTGCTCGTCGTTTATTGCTACGTTACCTATTCTCTAATCTACGGGCTTAGATAGGATGGCTTTCTACAATCGTTATCGCTAATAGAAACTGAAAAAAATGTCACATCTAATCATTATGTGGTCAGAATATGTTGAATATGTAATTCCTTGTGTATTTCCACAAACAGAGTGGACTGAGTGTTTCTTTGCCAGCTGTCAGCTAAAAATGGCGGAAAGGCACGACAGAGACAAAATGAATGTGCGGCCAGAAGTGTTTTGTATTCATTGAAATACGATTGATGAAGATAGATATTCATAACCATTTTACATACCATTGTAATATTATATATTTTTTACATTCTACTTATAAATTCCAATTGGAAAAAAGACAGGTATTGGCCGCACGTTCGCTTTCTCTCTTTCTAGAGAGTGGTTAATTTCATGAGAGTATTGCTCAGTCCGTTCTCTACGTCTATGTATATTTCCAAGTTTTTTACTAATGATAACTTTTGTAGAAAGCCAATTTGTCTAAGGCTTCTACTTATTTAGTGGATAGTGCAACTGAAATTAAATTTCAAACGAAAACGTCTAAAACGTAATTTTAAAATTGAAGAACGAAATTAAAACATACGATGTAACTTTGAAAGGATGTTTATAATTATTTTACGTTCATGTCTTGCGTTTTAAAGAAGTGGAAAATAAATATGTAGAACTTTTGTAAGTAAGAAAAGTATTGATAAATTGAAAATTTATTTGGTTGGTTGGTTGGTTTGGTGGTCTTTTTTAATTCTTAAAATTTAGTAAGTAGTTATTTCTGCATTAAGTACTGAATATATTAATCCATTTTTTTTAAATAATAATTATCTACTGCAAGACAATGAAGTAAAATATAAGAAGGTGAACGTCAAAGTTGAATAACTGAAGGATAAACCCTACTCTAAGTCTATTAAAACGTGTATATATATTTGGATCTCATTAAGTGTAATTTGGCCACAAATTTAGTTCACATCCCTTAATAAAAATAAGGGAATATATGTAAATATTTTTTTCTTTAAGTACAATAAATTTACATTGTAACTCTAATGACTAGTTTTTCTCGTATGGCCACGGATTGCTAAGAATGTGATAAGAAAAAAAAATGTATATTTTGCAACCAAAAAGTTTTACTTCAGCTCTAACTTCTTTGGCTCCAAAATATTTCATTGAGTCCACGGTTATTTTGAGTGGATGGATTTATAAAAGAAAACTTACACAGTCCCTATTACGTAAGTATATACGATTTATAAAAGGCACCTATAAAATGTTCATCGACCACTGTCGAACTACTTCATCAACTACTATTGCTTTCGATTCGAATTCTCATAATTGACAACACAAGGCGATCTTATTTTATACTAATTATCTGTTCAAATCCATTAGGATCGTTTAATATATGACTAAGGAAGCGAAAACTAATTTTTTAAAGTATATTATCGAGATTTTATGTATTGAAATTTCGGATCGAAAAGGCAATTCAGTTGATAGCACTTGGCTTTCTATACTACTAAACTATCATAAGCAAGGCTCGTCTTTCTTATATATTCGTTCAATAAGTTAAAAAAATCTCTGTAAACTATTTTCATTACGCTTAATATCTAACTTTTAACTTTTTTTTCAATAAAAAACGCACAACAATAAAACAAAAAACAACTTATATATCACTTTCAATCTAACATTTTTCGACCCTATGGAAGCCACGTTTCATCGCTAACTGCCTTAAAGGTCAGCAAAGAATAATTTATAAGCTGCGATATTATTAATATAATTCACTAAATTACTGGAAGGCTCGATCATATTATACTCGATTTTATATTCTATAAAAATATTAGAATATAATATGTTGTTTTTTATTTTTCGTAACGTCATATTTTTACATATATTGGAGTATTGAGTTATCACCTAATAAAGGAAGTATTGGTTGACGGTGTTCTAAAAGACGTCCTTACAAAGTCACCTCGTCAAAATCACGTAATAATATTATAAGAACGTCACAATTTGCTACAAGAACGTCATATGAACGCTGCAAGAACGTTACGAAAATGGTGCGAGAACGTCACAAGAACGCCGTCAATCAATAGTAAATTCCAAATTCAACTACAACCATTGCCGAGTCCAATAATATTTACACCGCCCATTCCAAGTCCAAATGGCGACAAAGAATTATTAAAATTCTCAAAAAATTATATTTTTATCTAAAATGTAAGCATTGTAAGTAAAATTTAATCAAAATAACGTAAATAATTTTATATTACAACGAAAATTGTCTAATTTTAGATTAAAATATTGATATAAAGATTATTATCAATCAATGAGAGATTTTCCTCAACTTTCTTGTACCATACGTACAAAATGGTGGTATACTGCCATCGATTGAAAGCAAACTTTAAAAATTATTTTAAAATAAAATGTTTCTAACATCCATATATCAGTTTTAACATTGACAGTTATATGTTGACATAATGCGAAGTATAGTGATAACTGTATAAGAAGAGCTATAATTTAAAAGTTTTATATAAAGAAACTTCGATAGAACAACTAAAATGTATGTTAAATACATTACTCATTTTTTTAGGTTATAAATTAATGGCAACTAATAACTATATATAAAGTTCGATAAAGTTCTAGCAATTATTATTGTCTTTTAGATTACATTTCATAATATATTTAGGACGAAAACTCAACAGATAACTGCCAACTCCTAAAACCCAAACATATTATAAACTATAAACTGTATCAATTGCCAATAAACAACAAAAAGGATACAAACTAAATCCCACTATTCAGCCATTAACCTTTCCATCCAAATCACAATTAAAAAAAAGCAATCAAATTTCGAAAACCACGAATTTGAATTTCGAACATTTAAACAGTCCGATACGTGTCCCATTCAAATCACATTTGAAATAAAAAAAATCATATTACGAACACTACGAATTTGAATTTCGAACGTTTAAACAGTCCGATGCGTGACCGGGCGCCAGTGGGGGAGAGGCGCGGGGGTCCACCTGAGCACAGTAGCGTCCGAGCCGTCGGGCGGGACGGACGTGTCGGACGCATGCGAGGATCACGGCGAGCGCAGGTCGGGCGCCGGCTTGTCGGGCGCGATATCGTCGTCGACGGCCTGCGCGACGCTCGCGCCGGTGTCCATTGGCGCGTCGGATGTGATCACGTTCGATTGAAAGAACCGTTCTGGAATGTAAAAGACTTCGGAATTATGATTTTCCCATATGTTTTTTATAAGTGGCTTTGCTACAGCTATTTACATATTATATCTAAGTATATATTATGATAATATATACTGTGAGTACAAAACTCAGAAATGAAATAAATCATGTTTTGTATTTGTACTTAAAGATTTTATATAGTCCCATTTTGGGTGCCAATTTTTATCATTTAGCTGTTTAATCCCTCCACGACCGCGGATACGGCGGCGTGTCAGTTAACAACAGATGTCGCAGCCTTTTAATTAATTTGTTAGAAATTTACCTGGAGGTGTTAAAATTTTAAGAAAATGCATATTTTTTAATATTAGTATGTAGTAACTATAATGTAAAATTACCATCATCTAATAGTACGACGTGGTCAGGTCCCGCTGGTGCTGTCATTATATTAAATTCTTCCTCTAGAGTTGGGAATGGAGCGTTCCACCTGAAGTAAAAATTAACGTAAAATTATAAATATACATAACACAACTAAAAAGTTTAATTATTGATAATTCAGCCCTTTTAACATCCAATTTCTGTGCTCGGGTTTCCCATCAACGCGAGCGGAATCAGGCTATAGTCCACCCACTATGACGCTGGCCAATTATAGGACGGCAGACTTCAGACGTCTTTCAAAAATTACTTAAGCACTCTCAGACATATTAATTGCCTTTTTTACGATATTTCCTTTTACCGAATAAGCAATGATGTTGAAAATAATTCGCAAATAAAAATGTAATGAGTTACAAGACCCGAATTTGCCCTCGTTTCAAAGTTTCAAGATCGAACGAACTCATAGCTAGCATGAGACATCCACTATTAACAGTGGTGCATAAAAAAATGGGTAAAAATTAAATAACTATATTATTTGAACTAAAAAATCATTAAAATATTTTTGTAATACAATATATAGCTTTACTCCATATCTGATTGATAGGAGTACTAATTTATGTTGTGTTATAGAGTTGATATAGAAATAGCTGGCCATAAACAAAAGTATTATTGGAGCATTACCTAGGAGGTGCTCTTGGCGGAGCCCGAGGCGCGTAGAGACCGAGCCCGCCCGGGGGCGAAGCTCCCCCCACTGGTCCGTAACTAAACACCTGTAAATACATTGTTAATGTTGTGAAGGGTTTCCTTTAACATTTAGTAAAATCAATAGTTACATACATACGTTGAATTTTAACCAAACAATAGAAACAATAGAAACATCAGATAAATAAGTAAAAACAACCGAATTTAATATAGATTAATAAAAATTCCTTATTTTATTTATTTCAAATAATACCTATTTTTCAATGCGCTTTACAGCGCGGTCTCGAGAGGTTAAAGCTTTTGAGTTCTCAAAAGTTATAGTTGGCGGACAACGTTTGTAATAAGTTATAGTTATGACTTAACACAAACGTTGTACGCACATAAAATTATACAACAATTTGGAACAGAAGTAATTCTTCTAACACCGGAGTGCCGTGAAACGTCTATAAAATGTACATTTAGACATCATGTGTCATCTCCAAACTACGTGACATTGGCGAAGTCATCTGTGCTCAACTGGCACGCTCTGAAGACATTAACTAGGGAATTGAATTGAAATTAGACATCAGCATATTCACGCCACGGAAGCCTATAAAAGAATTTTGTACTTACATTTAGACTTAATTCAATTCTCTTGTAAATTGCTACAAAGCATGTCAGTTGAGCACAGATTACTTCGCCAATGTCACGTAGAATGGAGAACACCATTTAGACTTACTTGTTGAGGCTGTGTATGAAAATGGTTGAAGTGTGATATAGGGGGGTGGCAGTCGCGGTAGTGCGGCGAGCGGCGGCGCGGCGATGCGGGCGGCGAGCGCACCTCCGGGGACGAGGGCGACCCGCCGCCCACACCCACGCCCACGCCCACTCCACCTACTTCACTCGCTGAAATAGTGAGCGATAGAGATAACAATATTATTTGTTTGTTTTTATTCATTACACTTACTACACAATGAAATGGTTTCTTTTTTTAATAATAAAAAACCTTACAAAATAAAAAATATACTTTCCGTCTTACGAGATCAAAAAAAGCGATTGCTTACTAGCCAATAATGATAATTTCAAGAAATACGTATATAAATGTAAAGAGAATGTGTTATTTAGCCTAACAATCGGACTTCGACCATAATTTATAAATAATTAATTGTAAACGTTCTTTTATCAAAATTACATATATATTATAATCTTCCTTAAAAAATGAATCTATACATATAATAAAATTCTGAGTCAAACCTGTACATTAAATATTTTTGGAAAGTCTTATTAAAATAGTCATTATAACCGATACAGAGGCCGAATCTATAGTTTTTAGAATTTTCGGCTGTCTGTCTATCTGTCTGTGACTGCATCACAGAAAAACTACTGGAGGATTTTAATGAAATTCGGTGTGATGATAGCTGGTTATCCGGGTCAACTTATGGGGTGCTTTATACTGCGGGAAAATATCTCATCTCTAAGAAATCTATACTAAGCGTTAAAACGTACCTAAGTAGGAAAGGGAAAGGAAGTACGAACCCGAGCGAGAAGCGAGTGTGAGTCGCTAGTAATAAATAATTATGTAAAATAAAATAATTGCACTAATATGTTATACAGATAACACATACCTGTAGATCTAATAATGGTGACAGGTCTGGCCATGGGCGGCAGCGGGGGCGGTGGCAGCATCGAGCTGCTGAAGTACGGCTTTGGGCTCCTCGACAGACTATGCACCTGCAAATTTATAAATATATTTCGTAAAACATCTCGAAATTTATATAAAATTGATGTTATTCTAACAAATATTGCTTTACAGTTACTATTATCTATATTTAATTCAAAGGTCTGAAACCTAAAATCTAAATCTTCAAAAAGTAAAACTGATTTAACTTTATTTTCTTTAACAATTGGAAGGGTAAAACTAAACTTTGAAGATATTTTTGCGAATAAAAAGTGAAACATTTACATTAAGTGAGCTCATGTTAGATAATTAAATTGATATTAAACAGCCTGATCGAGAATCAAGTCGAGAAGTTAGTGCAGCCTCCGTGCCTCGGAGAGGTGATATTGGTCCTGCACCCAATTTCTCAACGTGAGTGTTGAAGTGTAGTCCCACCGGAACATGAGAGTGCACTTGCTCAAACACTTTTGTACTATACTATTTGTACTGTACATACCTCCAGAGCAGTTGGCTAGTCTCAATGACATTGGCTGATGTCCCAGAAGTCGGTCAGGAGAATATTAAAAAAAAAGAGATAACGAGTCATTATTAGTCCCGCTGAGTTTCTTTCGCCCTCTTCTCAGGTCTGAGGCTTGTTCTTTCCGAACTGGTAGTAGACTCATGACGTTCAGTAAAATATTGTAATAATTTAATGCTGAATAAAATATTTTGAATTTAAATATTATTATACCTGTAACTGTTGAACGTCTGTGGGTTCTTGGCACACGAAAGTGACGAAGTCCCCGAGCGAGTCTTGCGGCGCGCTGTCGTACTTCCCACTCGAATGTTGGCTTGTTAGTGCTTCTGATGCTGAGAATGAAATTATAAGGTTACAATTAGACCACTATTATAAACGCGAAAAATTGTGTTTATGTTGGTGTGTGTGTGTGCGTGTGCATGTGTGTATGTGTATGGGCTAGTATGTGTATGTGAGTGTATTTATGTTGGTAATTCTTTTCTTTTACTTTTCAGGTGGTATTACCTGTATATAATGTCTATTGACATACATTATATAAATATGTACGTATAATAAAAGTATAACTGATTGTTATCTGTACATGAAAGATGTTTGAGAAATGCTTTTCTCAAGCTATTATTGGTCATTTTTATTATTGCAATATAACCCAAAACAATGATTTTTTTAATTTTTATCATTTTGTCCGTGCGTTTGTAGGCGCTATTCTTAGAAATGACTTAACCGATTTGGGTGCGGTTTTCATTAATGTATTGTGGTAAGCTTTTCACTTAACATTTTATATTTCTTTTATTTCAATCGATTCATAAATAAAAATATGTACCTACTAAGGATACACTCGAGCGAATCGAGGGTAAGTCCCTTGTTCCTAATAAATGAAACTACTTTTTAACAGCCACTTCGAATATGTACTCTATTACAATATTTGTCCTTATATTTTAAATTCTTCTTTCTAAAGAAGAATTCAACCTTGAATTATGAATTCTTTCTAGGAGTACTGAAAGTATTATAAAATTGGGAGTACGAATTAAAGCCGTTAAAAAGTAGTTCCAATAATTTTTACCAGTGGGATGTGTGTCCGTGGGAGGAGGGTGTTGGTAGAAGATTGTGTTAGACGGCACAAGCGGCGCTTGTGCTGCAGTTAGTCCCGCAGAACTGTGGGGGATACCTGGAAATATATGTACTTTTTTAAAAAACATGTACAGCAATAACTACAGCTATAACAAATAAATACAAATGTAAAACTGTATAATCATTTATATTTTATATAGTAGTCCAATATAAATTTCTCTTGATATGTTTAGATATGTTCCAACGTTTATTATAGATTTCTCAGAGATGACCTATTTTCCCGCAGTAAAAAGTGTCCTCTATGTTGACCCGGATAACCAGCTATCATCATACCAAATTTCATCGAAATGTGTCCAGTGGTTTTCTCGTAATGCGTTCCCAAATAAACAGACAGACGGACAGATACAGACATACAGACAGACAAAAATTTTAAAAATTATAGAATCGGCATCTGCATCGATTATAATGGCTAATTCAATAAGATTTTTCAAATAAATATTTAATGTACAGATTCGACTTAGAATTTTATTATATATATATATATATATATATATATATATATATATATATATATACAGATTTACAGTCAGTTACAAAAGTCATAAAAATAACGTTACAATAAATAATAATAAATAAAAACCAAGTCAGTGACCGCAACAATGAACCTTAACCATAATAAAATCAATGCAATGATTCATAATATAATCTTGCCCCGCATTTAGTAGGAGAGCCGTGTACGAACACGGACACTCCTTGAATGCTAATGAGGCTTTAATTTGTATTGGGCCTTTGTTTAGTGGGTACTTGCAAATATATGTATTGTACATGTAATGATATAAGATTATTAGATTAAAATATGTTAGGCATAAAATTTGACTTAAATAGATCATGGTCTAGATAATTGACTTTTACATTATTAGAAATATTTATTTGTTTTTTAATTATAATTTAGATTTTGGACGTAGTTACATCAGATACACCTCGGTTTTCATTTAGTATACGTAAGTGTTCTTAATTTTATCATCCCTATATACCAGCTGACATAAGTAAAATATCAGTATACCTGATGCCATGGTACTTGATACAGCGTAGGAATATCGTACGTACAAAATTATATTTTGACTGGATATAATTTACTAAAAAACATCAAAATAATCGTTTTATTAATGAAATTATCGCGTATCATCTAATTAATTACTAAAGTCGATTAAAAACTAAATAATACTTACTGAAGCACTGTCCGACCAGCATAGCGGAGGGCGTGCCGCGGTCAGTGGGCGGCTCGAAGGGCGCAGGGCTATTGTACCCGTAGTACGCGGACTCCAACTTGATGCCCGACCCGCCCGGCGACTCTGACCCCGTCTCTTGGAGGATAGAGGCTGGGTGGGATAACGTTATGTTAGCTATTTATCTATCTTAGTATATACTAAGTTATATTTTATGTTAGTTATTGAACCAGAAATATACTGTGATACCACAGTGTACTAATTCATTCACTTATCTAACGAAAGCCTCTAAAGACATGAAGTACATTTGACAACATTTCTGTTTAAATCAATGGGCTTCTGTAGGTATATATTTTATGCTGTGGTGGTGGTACACTAAATAAGGCATCCTTACACAATAATAATGAGATAAATAGAATGCGCTGGAATCAGCTATTAATTGTATTAATATTATTAACATCTGTTTATCATAGCGACTTGGATGTTTAGACTGACTTAGACCCTAGCCTGTAGTAGTGTACTAAATTTCATCCAAATCTGTCCAGATATTTCAACGTGAAGGAGTTACAAACAAACAAACAAACAAACAAACAAACAAACAAACAAACAGACATACACACACATGCTTTCGCATTTTAATTTATATTAGATTAATATCTAAAAAAATATTTGTATTGAAAGTTTGCGCACGGTATTGATATTACATATAACAATCATTCCCTTCAAATCTCTTACATTTTTGCTATGTTTTTATATATTTTTTGTATCTTAAATATTAGCTTACACTTAGTATTATATGTAACTATGAAAGTTTTTCATTTCATCAAAACGTACATAGATTGAGCAAAGCCGTCTGCAATAACTAGTTAAAAATATCAATGTATCGAAATATTTTAATACTCCGTTTAGAAACACGGTTAAATTTTACGTTTCAATTTTTAATAAACACAAAAAAACACTCCACAGTCGTTATTTTTATGGTGAAACAAAACTTTCGTTAATTTGCAAATTATAAGAGTAGAAATCATAAAAAAATTAATAGTCGAAGCGAATTCGTTAAATCTGATACGAGAGTGTAAATTTGTGAAGTACTTAAATATTTTTTTTATAAAATTTTTCACTGAAGATTGTTTCTATGCAGAATTGAAAAAAATTAAAAAAAAAAGAATTGTGTTAATAAAGATGTATTCTATATTCTATTCTAATTTAAACATATAAATAACTATACAATATAATGTCATTATATGCCTGTTTTGTAGGCATTCTATAAATATCAAATTGTTATTTTTAGGGTTGTCAACACCCTGATATTTATCAAATATATTATATAAAAATATAAGATTACTTAAATAATAATAAAACTGTACACACCAAGCATGCAAAAGTGGTCACCAAATGAGATAATACAAAACAATTATACATACAATAATTGTTTTGTATTTTCTGTACATAGCATAGAAATAACTAACAAACTTTAGATTTGTGCCTGGGAAAGTTGACAACCCTATTTCCATATCACAGAACACAATAAAAACATACAAACAAAATTAAATTTCATACAGTTAAAAACTAGACTAAAAATGAAATAAAACTAAAAAGCATTTTCAATTACCTTTCGACAACTTCCATAGTTCCTTCGAAGAGAAGACACCGGTCGCTAGAATGATATCGTTGCAAATAACACCGTTGTATGGATTATGGGTATAGCCTGTAACCCATTCGATATATTATAAAAAAAACAATTGCAACTCAATCCCATTCCAAAAAATCGGGACTAAACTATCACTAGATAAATCAGAAAAAACAGGATGAATTTACACAATGTTGGTGACGATCGGACATTTTAATTTTCTATGTATATAACATACACCCATCTACGAATTTGTTATTTTAAAAGTGCATAAAAAAACTAAGGAGTATAATGTAATAATCAATTTATAGTATAATACTCGTAATTCAGCAATAACATCCCACTGCTGGGCTTCTCCTTCTTGCGAAAAGGATCAGGCCATAGCCTGCCATGGTGGCCTAATGCGAGTTAGCGGACTTCACATCATGTGTTCCGGAACTACTCGGGTCTTCTTAGGCATGCAGGTTTCCTCAAGAGATTCCTACACCGTATTAGCACATGGTAATCATATTGGAAATCGCATATGAATATGCCTTAGTTCCAAGACTCAATTTTAAAAAGTTTTTGAATTTAAATACTTATCATTTTACATATTATTATCATAACACATTATATAATATATACATACTTACGTCTTAACATTTAGTATCGATTTCTCAGAGATGAGATATTTTCCCGCTGTAAAAAGTATCCTATATGTTGACCCGGATAACCAGCTATCATCATACCAATAAAAACTATAGATTCGGCCTCTGTATCGATAATAATTACTATTTCAATAAGATTTTCCAAAAAATGTCTAATGTACAGATTCGGCTTAGTTACAATTTTATTATATGTATAGATTTTATAACTTCATCGATCCTTAGTGTTATACAACCAACCATTTGTTTCTAATTTAATGTAGAATCATTACCAACTTCGAAAAATTCCGAGTTGCCCATTGAGTACTCTTAATAGTCTATTAACTAAAGTAATTTACTCAGCACTTTCTCATTCCAAAAACGTTTAAAAAAAAAGAATACCGGCTAAAGTTCAAACATATAACATCCTCATTTTTGGAAGACGGTTAAAAACAGAAAGTTTGAACGTCATACGAGAGTTATACGTCAATGGTAATAATTAATAACCAATGACCCCTTTAACTTCATAACCTAAATTCAAAATGCACTTTTAAAATAGCATCGATTCATATATATTCCTTGTATGTAACTTTTGACAGCTTTATCTCGAAGTTAAAAGCGGTTTAAGAAAACCTCCACTCATTTTACTTTAAACGTGATCTTTTCTAATAAAACCTAAAATATTGCAATTGCTTATTATATTTACAAAAGTATACACTTTTAAGATATTACAAACTATATGAAAATCAATAGAAATATTAAAATTTCAAACTAAAAGTTAAAAAAATTGAATAACATAATGCAATATATTGATTCACGATCTACAATTTACAATAACTTAGTAGATATTAAAAGTTGTTAATAGTTACATAAAAAATATAATTACAACAAACAAAAACCCGACTGCGTGAAAAGCGAACTAAAATGGAGGGAACAAGTTTACGTAGGAACATAGTATTATGCAGTCGGAGTCATATGCACGTAGCAAGACTCCCAGTAAGTATAAAAACATGTATGTCTCCGACTGCATAATATGTACACAGTCTACTAATCCATACAGTCGTTTAACGTAGGTCTCTAGACAGGGAAAGACGGGGAGGTTCGGTTGGGTCTTAGTGGGTAGTACTGGTTTCTTACCAGTGAGTCCCACATAACCACGTGTATGTATACAGGTGGTATGAGTAAATGCGTTTCCCAACATTAAAAAAGGGGTATCGTAAGGGCGTTCAGATTGAGGGGGGAGACGTGAATGACGCGATACCGACTGTCATACTTACTTTTATATGATAGTTGGGAAAAGACTTTAGGGTTGGCATATATAATTATAACTTGCAAAGTGTTTTAATTTTAAAACTATGAAAATTGGTTTAGATAACTTTTGCATTTAACAGCGTTTTCGTTAAAATCAATGCGCCTACTGTAGGGATTTTTATACTGTGGTACTATGTTCCTGCGTCATTTTATTACTATATTTTTAGTCCGCTTTTTACGCAAATTAAAATAGTGAGAAAGAGAAGGAACACCGACTACAGTACAATAAAAACGAGCAACATCAAGTTCCAACACGAAGTAAGCATGAGGTGCAAGCGAGTACAGGTTCAAATCCAGATGCACAAATCTAAAATGGTGACCACAATTGTGCAAAACCAATCAAAAACTCTCAATTTTACATGTGACTAAGAATGGTGTTTATTGTTTAGAAACTAAAAACTATAGTTGTAATATCAATTATTTCTTTTGTTTATGAAAAATTTATTGAATAAAATTTCAATTTCACATCTTTTTCCACAAATGACATATTAAGATCTCTCATTTAAAAATCTATTTTCTGTAATATTTTAAGGAAAATACAGCTAATATCATTTAAAGCTTAAAAGTATCGATTCAGTTCCAAAAAGCTCGTTTATTTTGGCGGCAGTTCCTCTGCGACATGTAAATGAATACCTGTTTTTATAAGCCAATACATACATATATACATACACCCTTGATTGTGCACAGATTACTTCGCCAAAGTGACGAAGACACAAAAACATAACTTAAAAAGCAAAATAAAAGATAACATTCGAAATTTTCAGAACAATTTCTTTTTTTTATGAACGAAATGCTAGCTTATTTATTTATTCGAAAAAAGTTATGATGATGTCAAATATAAACATCAACAACTACTAATTGTTACAATAATATTAGATCTTGAGTTAGATATTATAATATTTTAGAAGATAACCATTTAAAACTTTCCGCGCGTTAAAAGCTTTATAAAGGCACCGCAAAGAATTTTCAATTCTATAACTTTTAACAATGTGTAATGGTAATATATTGAAGGCGATATCAATTTATACACAAAATCGGCTTTTTTTTCTCGATCAAAAGTCCTGTCTAAGCTAAATTCTGGACTAATCTAAGATATTGATAACTATACATACATTTGATTTGCCTGAAAACTTTATAATCTTTAAAGAAGATTCTTTTCTTTTGAAACATATAAAAATAAGCCAATTATAATTTATTTTTTAATAAAATCCAAAGCTAGTATTTCAGTATGAAACACCATTCTTAATCGACGGACACGACACGACACCGACACGAGGTTACCTTTGTTTTTAGCCTCGTGTTCATTCTCTTTGTCCCTAGTGGGGTGTGGTGAGAGAGATCCGCTTAGAATATCTGAAACATATCGATTATATGTACTACTTTAAATACATCTACTTATGCTAACAATCCCTTATAATGTCTAGAAAATAATAATAATATATAGTAAATAATAATAATATATAGTAAATAAATAAAACTGACTTCAATAACTTTTCTTTATGTACATTAAACCAAAATTTTGCACCCCCATATGGGTAAAATCTTTTTTAATTTAATTAAACCTCTTTAAAATAAAAAAAAATAGTTTATAAAATAATTCTTTGAACATCGCCATTTGAGAGCATCGCCTCGCCTATTTTTGAAGTCAATTTGAATAAATTGTGTGTATTGAGAAGTTCAATTTCTTTAGCCATTTATTTATATTATTACCTATATATACAATGAGTAGTTAAGTAATTTTTTTCTTTAACATTTCTCTAATCATTTTTTCTAGTCTTTTCTTATCTTTCTTCTCTGAGAGCTTTTGCGTCTCAATTTTTTTTTTCGCTTAAAAGCTAAAGAAGTTTATCTTCATCGAACAAATAATTATATCTCGCGAATAAAATTACTAGCACTACTGCAAATTAACCCTTCATTTTTATAAGCTTTAAAAAATTAGGTTAGTATAGTGCAGGAACATAAAATAAAGCTAGCAAAAACTACGCAAGAGTTGATGATTTTAGAGTTTAGACTCCGAAGTAATAAAAAAACGTAAAACATTTATATTAAATCTATAAAATATTTGATGTAATAAATGACAACAGGACCATACTTCCTCATTATCAAACGATTTGAAAAAATTGTCAAACTAATATTAGGATAACGTATCATCCAAATAAGCATAGTCTAGGGAAACTGATTATCTTGGGCAAAATTGATGGCAAAAGAGCACGGAGAAGGGGTACCTATGAGGTGATCGGACACAATAAAGAAGTCAGTAGGTGCAGCTCTCCATGATGCAGTCCAGGCATCACTGAACTGATGATTGACAGACTGGAAAAAATCATAAGTGGTCGCGATCCTCATCATTGAGGGAACGAGGAAGAAGAATCACCCAAATAAATATTCATTCACGATAGAAGAAACAAATTCTCAAAGATATATGATATATATATATATAAGATATACAAGACTAAACATTTCCTCCATATCAGAATAAGAAGATTTGTAAGAATATCAAAATACCAAAAAATATCCCAAAAATCATCAACACCAGCGTAAAAAGAACCGTAAAAGCAATACAAATATCACTGAGCGAGAGACCTGGCAGACCGTCGCTCCCATTACCATAGCTGTTGATGAAGTTAGCGAGATACAAGTCTAGTTCTCGGACTGACACGTTGATGTGGTAGGGGTTCACACAGAGTCCTGGTTGCGTGCATTCTGGGTGCTTTTCTAAGCGCTCTCCATCTGTGCTTTCTAGTGGTATAGCTTTAAATAGGATCACCATTACTAGATCTAGACGCCAGACCTGAAAAGAATTTGGATAAAAATGATTAATGATACTAGCGACTTACCTAAGTATCAATTAGTAGCATATGTACAGTCTATCTCTGTACTAAATTTTATTCAAATCTGACCAGCCACTTTAGGGTGAAGGAGTAACGAACATACATACACATACAAACTTTCACATTTACAACAGTAGGCCGATACAATATATTTTTTTCAGGGTCAAGGTGATTTTTCTAAGGCTTTATAATATTCTTAGGTTCAGGGGAATTTAAGGGTTTAATTACTAAATAAATCTTTAGATTTTTATGTTTTGTAAGTCTTTTTACTGAATTAAACACGTACAGACTAGATCTATAGATTAAACTAGAGTTTACCCAATAATCTAACATACTTGGATGATTTAGATACCTACAAGCCTTTTTAAGCCCAGTAATATGGTGTATAATTGGTTTTAGATATTTTTCTTTATATTTTTATTTTGTTATTCCATAATTTATAATAGGGAAAATATATATTACTTTCATAGTCCTCACCATAAGGAGAACATTTTCAATTAGCGTCATAACTCAAAAAATGCTTACGTTATTGTCTTTTTTACATTAAATATTTACAATTTAAATATCTCAATCATTCTTAATCATATTGAGTAACTTATAAATATTAACTCAAATTGATTAATCGTGTCTATCACCATCTCTACATTACCCTCACCTTATCAGCTTGTCTCAAACAGTCTATCCTCCTCATTTTGCCCTTCTGGTCGGGATTGGAGAGGACGCACACCGCCGGCCTTTTCCCCGTTATACTCAGTACGAAGTCCTCGCGGCAGTCCTGAGTGATGTCCTTGCGTAGCTTCCCGAGTAACCGAGATGCCCATTTCTGTTTCACTTCTGCTTTTTCGTTCTGGAATTTGTTGTAGATAGTTTAAATTACCATCTGATGATGAATTTTAAATATTGTATGAATTTTGCTTTGTCGAATTGAACTAGCAGATTGTTTTATTTTTTATTTTAAATGTTATAAAACAATTTTATATGAACGGCAATCCTGAATGGTAGCGGTAGCCCAGTGTTAACGCGTTTGCTTGAAACATCGAGTGAAGTGGGTTTGAATCCCGAATCTCGCCCCTCTGACTTTCTCATGTGCAAATCATTTTCAAAATAATTATCATTTGCCTTACGGTGAAGGAAAATATCGGGAAGAAACTTGTATGTATGGGAAAACGTAGCAAATTTCGAAAGACATATGAAGTTCAACAACCCACACTTGACCAGAGTGATAGACTATGACCTCATATTTAAAGAAAGCCCATGCTCAGCAGTGGGACGTTTAAAAGGGCTCATTACATACATAAAAAAACATTTTTTATGAGTACTTCCACAAAATGAGACGTCACTTAATCAGACTAAACGTCACGTAATCAGAATATTTCATTAGTATATTTTTCGTTTTGTTTGAAGAGCAAAAAATCTGCCGTACATATGTATATGTATATGTATATCTATAAAATGATATTTCCATTTCCAAAGTATTGATTAATATAATGAATAAGATTTTCTCAGCTCATCTCTCTCATACCCATATTACTTTTTTTAGGCGACAAATTTAATTTTCATGATAAATAAACTTGCTAAATACTATTAATAATAGTAAAAGTAGGGTATGCTCGTATTATTGTATAGGTATAATATTTTAATTATTCATACTAATAAATAAACTATAAATGATATAACAAAATATCGCATTGCGGCAAAAAAAATCGTCACCCAGCATATACGATTATCTGAGTAAGAGAAAATGGAGAGTGACGTTCTGTGATGCTACGGTGAGTGTAGCGCCCTCGTACTGTAACCCTTGTTGCAGTTTTAGAACTATTTTATTTACATTAATTTATTTTTACAAGTATTGCTGTGCAACTTTTTTTCTTTCTGAAATATTTTAATATTCTACATATATTTAATATTCAATCACAAAGTTTATTAAATTATTATTTTTTTCATTTAACAAATATTGTAAGGTTCTTTTGTGCCTTATATTTTTGAAATCATTATATAATTTAGTGGGTAGGTACTGTGTAATAACTATGTAGTGGCATTTGAGACGTCCAAAACCTAAGTCTCTCCCGTAACCGTGATTGCTGTAAAGTTTTCGAATCGTCGGGAACCAAAAAATAAAATAAATCTGCGAAAAAATCCGAAAAGATAGTTTTATTTAAAATATTAGAAATATCTCATTAACTTGTAAACTTTCAACTACTTATGATTTTTCAGTACTTAATATAATAATAGCTTAAATGTTAAATAAAACAATATGTTAAAAAAACTATAGACTCTACATACATATTATTATCTATACACTTTAATAACACATGACGCTTTTAGCCTTCATTTAGTTCAAGTAATTAATCACCTCTTGTTATTCACGTACACTCATTAAACGGTCCATTTGTTAAGAGCCTTAGCTTAGCTGACAGCTTAGCTTTTTAATCAATATAGGAAATACGTGCGGATCGACATACGATAATGTTATTATTATAGATAATCCGTTGTGTTTTAACTACTATATTCCCGCAGCTCGATTCATTTTGAACTTCAACAAAATAACCTAAACTTAAGGTAAGTACAGATTTTTACTAAGAATATTTACAATTAATACAATACTTCAGACTATAACCTCCGAAATGCAAATAAATAAAGTCAATACATCCTTTATAATATCATAGAATAAATAGTATCCAATATCAAAAAATATCGATATCAGACGGTCATTCAAAATACCTACAACTGTAGGTACATATACGCATGTTATTCTAATCAAATTATAAATTATATACGCCTTCTTCGGAAATCCACGCTCCCAAACAAATAAGTCCGCGTGGACCATCAAAATGATTTATACTGCAGATATAAACCAAGGCTCTACATTTAAAACTGCGAAGTTTAAAAAATGCATCCATTACTTTATTCATAGCACACAAAATTATGACCACTTTATTATAAGAAACTACTAACCGACTCTACATTGTACAATTCAATGTAAAAACAAATAATTCTAAAGTAAAACGCTGCCTGGACTAAATACTAATTTTGTGAATTAGCTTTTAAATCATGAGTTGCGACGTAGGAATCCTACATTCAGCGAATATCTTTACCGATAGACGCATTGCGACTGCCTGGAAATGCAGACATCTTTGTTTTGTATCTTCCGCATCGAAAATTTGTTAACTCATGTTTTTGTTGAAAATTTTTTGAAGATGTAGAGTTCGTGGGTTTATATGAATTGTATTTTTATATATAATTTGTTTGTGTTTAGATATATTTTGATGTATTATCTTTTATGTTATAACAGCAAGTAAGCTTTATGATATTCATCAACAGTTCAACTAGTTTACATAAATTATGATACTAAAAGATAATACGAACGACGACGCATTATAAATTTATAATGTAAATAATTAATTAATAAGTATTTAAAAAACATAATTATACAACTTGATTAATTTTAAAACTTAAATGTCTTGTACTCTGTTAAACATTAAATAAAAATATGTCTTTCGCACAAAAAAAATCTCAAAAAAAAAACAATATTTTACTATAAATATAGAGTCATTACTGAAATATTGAATTAAGAAAAATCATTTTAAAAAGTTGTTCATGATACCCGAATATAAAGTCAATCTATCAATATATCATGTCCTTGCTACTCTATATCTTTTGTAACCTTTGTTCAGATGCGAATCAATAAGAATAGACCGAGACGAATATGTATGAGTTTATCCAAAAAGTTTCAGTGCGTACATTTATCACGTCTGTGGTTAAGAAATATCTCGAGAAAGCGTGCAATGTTTTCTAATATTCAGTGGACTATTGTTGTAAATATGGACAACGTAGGTTATTTTCTTGTAAATGACAGTTTGAGATATTAATTTATTATATTATTGTAAATAAAATTATTATTTATATATAAACATATTTCTAGAGCTGTATAATATATATCAAAAACTGTACAAACGTGTTTCACAGATTCTTTATTTTAAATCCTAAAATACATGTACAGCAGCAAAAATATATAATTTTGACATTTTTAAAGGCAAAAAGAGTTATTAGTGGAGAACGCATGTCCGGCAAATTCATTTTCTGAGCGTGAAACATAACTTGTATAGTACAAAGCTTTGCATTCTCTACCAAACAAAAATTGCCATATAACTACAGCTTGTACATGTGTAATATTTCTATTTTATAATAAAAGTCACCAACAATATCCCCTTTAGAGTATGCTCAAACGAATATGATCTATTTTAATGAATAAATGCGGAACATTCTGAATAATAATATAATTAAAGTATATCTAATTATTCATATAATCCGCATTTTGTTAACAATCCGATGAATAAAAAAATAAGTTATACTTCTTTGGCGTAACAGAACAAAAAAAGCAAAAAGTTTGTAAAAAGAATGCAGCTAATTTCATCATGTCGCTTTCAGCTAACTTCATAATTTCTTCTTTTGGCTGTCGGTGTGCGCGCGCATCGTAAAAATTCTACTCTCATATGTTTTCCAAAGGTGCCAAAAGAAGTATAATTTCAAAAATATTCGTCCGACTAACTGATGTTGGTGTGTGTATTACGACTGCAACTATTTTTGTTTCTATAAAAAACATCTAAAAGAATAAGTTTTGAGCGCGGTAGGTTAAGGTTATAATACTTTCTTAGATTTACGCGAATATTTGACATTTTAAATAAAACTATCTTTTCGGATTATTTCGCGGATTTATTTTGATTTTTGGTTCCCGACGTTTCAAATGCTTTACAGCATCCATGGTCACGGGAGAGACTGAGTCTATTCCGCGAAATAATGCGAAAAAATAGTTTTATTTAAAATAGGTTAAGGTTATTTTTTGGCGTATAATGCCTACACCTAAAAATAAAAATCATTTATTTTATATTAGAAAACAAAAAACTTAAAAAAATAAAATAAAAGCCGACTTCCAGGCACTAAGATGTAAAAAAAATAAACGTGGGTTTTTATTTAGAATAGATACCTAATCAGATATTTTCGAAGTCGATGTCAGCCGACAATATTTTAAGATATGAATATCTAATAGGTAAATATGCGTTTTACGTATCAACAAACAAACCACAAACCAACAATAATCGGATGAAAAATATGTTTTTTATTCATTCGATTATCGGACGAATAGCTACAGGTTTTTATAAATTATAATTTTTGACTTTCCTAGACTTAAGAGAATATGTAACATTTTAACTAAAACTATCTTTTCAGATTTTCACGCGGATGTAGAATACGTTAAAGCTTAGTCTCTACTGAGACCATAACTGCTGTAAAGCATTTGAAAGTTCGGCAACCAAAAATCAAAATAAATCCATAAAATATAGTTTTATTTAATATTATAAATTTTGTTAAAATTTTATCTCAAAATCTTGAATACTGACAACAAATTATGATTTCTACTTTAAATAATAAAACTTAATTGTATACAATAAAAGAAAAATATTTATTTACCTGCAATTCATACTTTGTGTGTCGCTCCTCCTCAAGACTCATCCGCTTTTCGTGTTTTTTGTAATATTTCCTTTTGGCCGCTTGTAAATTGAACCACGTGTACGAAAAGGACTTTACAAAAGGCATCAGGGCCTCTATGAACGGATGGAACTCGTCCTGGAAACATTCAAACAATCGAGAACATTTAAAGAGGTTTTTTGAAACTGCAAATAGCGGCGCCCAATGTGGGGTAGTCTTTATAAACCTTTTTTTTCTATTACATTTTTTTTTAAATCACACAAAAAAATATTGACAAATTGACTATATCTATTTTGAAAAAGATATTAATAACAAATCGTTAAAAATATACAATTACATCTATTGTTCTTGCACTCGAACATTATTTACATTCAAAGCATTCATAACGTAAGGTAACATAAATCATCAAAGGCATCGAAAAGTCCATTTATATGATACGAATTGGTGTTTTTTATAATGAAATTTTGACATAGTACATTGCACTCGTAACGTTGCTACAATAAGGCTTAAAGTAAAGAATAATTTTAGTTTATATGATTTAAAATATGTACTCCGAGTAGGAAGTTTAATAGTGGGATTTCCCATCGATACATTCTATACCGTTGCGATTACTAAGCTTTACAATGCATATAAAAGAATACCGATGTCTATCTCTACGTTGTACGATCACATATTCTTCTTGGAAGTCTACGAGCTATGTTTGTTGCTTTTAAAGTGCTTTAATTGCTGAAGAATTGTAAGTGAAATTAGTATTATACGTACTTTCGTTTTTGAGGTATGTGTGTGTGTGTGCATGTGTATGTTATTTATAGTAGAATGACAATAAAATTATTAGCACTAAATAATTTCTTTAAGGAAAATTAATCTATATAGCTTGTCCTAGTGTCAATATATTATAAGTACAAAATGATTCCAAAACATTCTTTTCACAAAAAATGAGACTTGCTAAATGTTAAATGTGAGAATATATTGGTTTAAACGTGTTTATCTATGGTATGTTTTCGGACCCCCAACATTGGATCAAATTGTGTTAACTATGATATACATATTTATTAATATTATTATGTTCAAAGCCACTATTACAGAAGTCACTCAGGAAATCTTCCTATATGTCAACTGAGCGAGTTCTTAGAAGCACTCACGTATCAACTCCCTTCGAGCAATAAATAAGTCCTTAAATCATAATAATATGATATGTAGATACAGAGATGTGGATAAATTTAGAAACTTTCAAAAATAGATACCTTTACTCTGAATTAGCATCATAGTATACATAAATAATATTATTAGTTCAACCAAGTAAAATATATATATAGATAAATGAAAAAAATGAACACTGATAAGGGTTACTTCAGGTAATGTATACAAATAAATAAAAACGAAGTGTCTGTTTGTAACGTCAAAATAACAGCTTTTTACTAAATAAGTACATATGAAAGTATATACGGTATATATAAGAAAGAAACTATTTTTAAAATTTTTGTCCGTCTGTCTGTCTATTAGTTCCAGAGAACCTAAGAAACGAACCGATTTTGATGGGATTTTCAATGGCAGAAAGCGAATGTTCTAAGAAGTAAATTTTATATAAGAAAAACAAGTAGGGTTCCGCTCAAAAATATTAAAACCCATGAAATTGTTAATAAAATCTGCATACCTACGGACGCTACTATGGATCACTAGTATACAAATAATTTCAACTTTTAAGTCTTGTTTTGTAAAAGTCACTATTTAAGCTTTCAGGACTATGTGTCTTTATGTTACAACTAGCAGAGCCCGCGGCTTCGCTCGCGCTAAAATTACAAAAAAATCTCTTTGGCTTTATGCAAAAGGTATTTTTAAAATGGGCAGAAACTTCTGAAGTTTCTGAGCATAACACACTTAAACATATTATGAACAGCAGTTTTACAATAATATATGGAAGTCGGCCCGATTTGTTGACATTTATGTTTACTGCTCCGCTCCCTTGGGTAGTAGCATGATGAGCTTCCTATAGCATTCCTCAATAAACGTGCTATCTAATGCGAAAATAATTTTTCAAATCGGATTAATGGTTCTTGAGATTAGCGCGTTCAAATAAACAAACAAACAAACAAACAAACATACAAACTCTGACTCTTTTTAATATTAGTATAGATATGTAACTATAATTCATTTTTTGTTGATTATAATTATCGATATTATATTACTTTTGCCGACACGTTTGGCTCAGTTTGTAGTGAGCCTACTTGCACTGCCAACGGTCGCAGGTTCGAGTCCCGCTGGAGACATTAATTTGTATGATAAACACGAATGTTTGTACGTAAGTCATGGGTGATAAACACCCATTCATGTCATGGGTGATAAACATTTATAATATGTATGTATCTAATGTCATATAAAGTTATGTGTAGTATATCAACTATCAGGTATCCATAATACAAGCCTCGTAGCTTACCATGGAACTAGATGGTGCTGTGTGTTAATGTCCCAACATACTTATTTTTTTGCTTGGTACCTTAATTTAGAGACAAAGCAAAGGGTCAGAGCTACCAATAAAATCGGACATGTCAGTTCTGTGTCATAAGTAAAATTCGAGCTAATCACGTATTCATCGAGTAAGGATGCTATTGTTGTTGTTGCTTGATTCATAATATAATATATGCAAAGGTGTCGACTTGATTTACATGGAATTTGCTTGAAAATCAAAAATACTTGTAACTGTAAAAAAATCGTAAAACCCATTGTATTGTTTGTCATTCAATAAGCGAAGAGAATAAATTCTTGGAAAGAGGCGTTGCATTCAGAGAAGTGCATACGGTAAGGTCGTGTTAGAACATTAACATATAACGTTAAGGATTTGTTTAAATTACCTCTGACATGTAGTTGCTATGACTCGAGTGGAAGTTAATAAATCAATATGTTTAAATATGTTTGGACATTAACATAGTACCACCTAGTTCCATGATATGCTACGAGGCTTGTGTTATGGATACCAGATAGTAGATACACTACGCATATATAATTTTAAATACATATTATGTATTATAAATATAAACACCTCACGGAGTACAAACATTCGTGCTCATCACACAAATGTATGCCCCCAGCGGGACTCGAACCCGCGACTGCTCGTACAGCAAGTAAGGTCACTACAAACTGAGCCAAACGTGTCGTCAAATGTAATGAAGCAATACCACATGCGTTATAAAAACTTCCATATAGCAGTAGCTACGAGTTTTTTGAAATAATTTAAGTAATGTAGAAGATTATGAAGTATTAGAATGATAATTATATTGCCTATTTTGACTGCTTCAGTATACCTAAAAACAAAGTAAATGAAGGGATATTCTACCATATTACCCTTAAAAAAATGGTTACTAAAGATAATTATAGTTATTCAAAATTTGTCTTTCTAAGTTTATCATAGTATGCATTTATATTTTATAATTTTAATAACGTCAACAATAAAACCATTCCCTATAAAACGAACATTAAAACCAGCGAAAACAGTATCCAAAGAAATCTCTTCATCAAAACTCCATGAAACTTGCTATAAAATTCCCAATTCCATATCATTTCAATATGCGAAGCTTACTACGAACACCCACACAACACCTCAATGAAATATGGAAAATACCAAGCGTTCCAACGTATAAACAAAAGATCCAGTCAAAACATCGAATTGGCGAGGACGCTAGACGAACCGCCGCTCTGCCAAGCAGTGTTGGCACCTGAAGCCACGTGGCAAACTTGCCAGTAACTTGACCATATGTTGAGGTGATTGTACTGGTTTATTAGGTGGTTCAAGGATTTTGTTATAAACTAGAGACGAACCTGGTTTTGCTCGAAAATGTCCTGAAGTAACGTTTTCACAGGAGTAATCTAACAAAAAAGTCTTTGTCACTCTCTTAACTATTTAACTATATCTATATGAAAAATAACGTCGATAAATTGATAACGTGTAAAAGAATGACAAATAAACAAACAGACTTTCATAATATAGCACAGATACAGATTGAAAGCTTAGACACAAAATTCGCTTTTGGATTTATGACAATGCAATTTTGCTTTTAGTAGATCTAGGTTTCAGTGTTCTTCACATAACTTTAATTTTATTTATTAATATGTATTTCAAAAACCAGAAATTACAACTATTAACATTTCTAATATTAAATAAATACGAAAACTAAACGTTAAATGTAACTCAAAGTAAAACGAAAGTACCCATTAAAAGATAATATCAATACAAAGCAATACTAGCCTATAGGAAGTATAATATTTTTTTACAATAATTCATGGCATTGATAGAAAATACAATGAAAAAAATTAAAAACTTTACATCTATACTAATATTATAAAGAGACAGAGTTTGTCTGTTTGTTTATTTAATCGCGCTAATCTCAGGAACTACTAATCCGATTTAAAAGTTTTTTGAGGAAGGCCATAGGCTATATATCATTCCGAAAAAATGTACGGTTCCCATGAGATAGATTTGTTTTTTGCTTATAGACGAACCCGAAACGAAGTTGAGTCGCTAGTATGCACATAAATGTAAGTAATCTTACATAAAATATCAATAATGTAAATGCTACACAAATAATTCGCACAATATTAAACGAAATATTTGTACCATAGGATAAATTATAGCTTACAGTAAGTAATTTTTGTTAAAATCTAAAGGAAATAAGAAGAAATATGGCTTGTCCGATAAGAAATTTAAATAATACATAAACATCCTTCCCATTGAATGAAAACACGATGCATTTTATTAGAAACACAAACACACATCACATTAAATAGAAGAGGTAAAGATTGCGTCGTAAAACTATCGAAAAAGTGCGAGCTTCGCATTTGAAGAGCATATTCTAAATAGAAGTTGGCAACTGCTAAAGTTAGAAACGTATTGGAAAAGAATCATGAAATTTCAGTCATTTTTTTATACATTCAACGTTCTTTATACACTATCCATTCCTAATTTATTCAAGTCCAGGTTTATTCAACATTTCTAGACTTTTCACGTGTAGAATTAGCGTTTTGATTGACGAAATACTAAAACAATATAACAAAACTAATAGATATTAGGGATAAAACTTTTCCGTTTCGTATCATTTTTTGATTTTTCCCAAAAAAAACTATCTAAAAATACTTTTTTGTTTTAG